AGAATCCGTAGATAGCAGGAGGCGCCGGCAGAATCCGTAGATCGCAGGAGGCGCCGGCAGAATCCGTAGATCGCAGGAGGCGCCGGCAGATATGCTGGGCACCCGTAGACATGCATTTGGCATGTCTGGACTGGGCACGCCTGGGCGAGGTTTGGCCGGCTGGCACTGGGGTTTGGCCCTGCAGTAGAGTCCGCCTGTAGATTTTGCAGTCGGGCGCGCCTGTTTGGGCCAGGCTGACGGGACATTTTGCAACTGACAGTGGACCATTGGGACAATTGAAACAGCGGCCCTGAGCTGGGTCCAGCGAGGCACGCCATGGAAAATCGTCAGGCGGGCGTTCCGGCGCGTGTCTGGTTTCCGGGGTTCCAATTTTTTGTGGCCGCTTCCGGGCTGGATGTGGTGGAGCGAATGGGCTATATTCTGAAAGCCCGGTGCCAGGACAATAAGCCGGGACAATAAGCCGGGACAATGAGCCGGGGATTGGCTCGAGGTTCCCGGCACTTTTGGCACTTGACACATGGCCCAGCACATTTGGCTTTTGACACGTGGCCCGACAACTCACGGCAGACGGGCCGGCTGCCATTTTCTAAAGGGGAACGGAAAAGAAATCTGTTCCAGTGCACAGCCGGACAGAGTGCAATGAAGCAGCGCCATCTGAGCGCTGGGTTGAGGCCACACGCGGTAGCCACGGCCCACGGACCACCACCCTGGAATGGCAGCAGGGCCTGTGGCTCTTTGAAACGCGGCTTGGGCCCGGCGGTTTCGGCCTCCTCCGTATTTCTAAATATCCGCCGGGGTCTAAGTTCTGCTTCTACTGCCCACAAGTCCACAGCATGGCAGCCCATCTTGGCGGAGGGGGCAAGGCGGTGTTCTGGAATCAGCCTCTTTCATTTCCAGAGGAATGGGCCTGTTCCAGTTTCAAAAGAATTGGCCTCTTTCACTTCCAGGAGAATCGGCCTGTTTCACTTCTAGAAGAATGGGCCTTTTCACTTCCAGGAGAATCGGCATCTATCACTTCCAGAAGAATCAGACTCTTTCACTTCCAGAAGAATCGGCCTCTCCACTGCCAAAAGAATCGGCCTCTTTCAGTTTCAAAAGATGGGAATTTTCACTTCCAGGAGAATCGGCATCT